TGTTAGAACAAGCACGTTAAAACCAGAACCCCCTGTAATTTACCAAGTTAAATACTTTGATGCATAACATATGCATAATTAAATTATTATATGGAAGGTTGTATACTTTTGTCCAACTGAGCAATCTTGCTTTTATCAAATATACCGACTTTTTAATGTTTAAACATCCTGTAATACAATGTTTAAAATGATTAAACGTTTAAACAGTATACAACATAAATGCTTAATTGGAAATAGATTGTCCCTCAGCAGTGACTGGGATTCGAGACCGTGCGTTTTCTGGCGACAGCTCAAATGTTGTACATAAGATGTTAACCACCTGGTGGTTTTCCAAGGTATTTCTGGATACTATTATCCTATTTTAAAAATATGGTATGTTGTGCAGCATCCACCGCGTTTTAACGCAGCATACCCCACTCATTTTGAATGGCTGGATCTGTACACATAACCCTCTAATTTAACACAGAATAATAATAATTGTTTACACTTATATAGTGCTTGTTGTACACTTCACTCAAAGTGCTTTACGGGTAATGGGGACTCCCCTCCACCACCACCAATGTGCGCATTCACCTAGATGATGCAACGACCGCCATAGTGCACCAGAACGCTCACCACACATCAGCTATTAGTGGGGAGGAGAACACAGTGATGTAGCCAATTCATAGATGGGGTTTATTAGGAAGCCATGATTGGTAAGAGCCAATGGGAAATTTGGCCAGGACACTGGGGTTACATCCCTACTCTTTTCGAGTAACGCCCTGGGATTTTTAATGATCACAGAGAGTCAGGACCTCTGTTTTTTGTCTCATCCAAAGGACAACACCTTTTAACAGTGTAGTGTCCCGATCACTATACTGGGGCATTAGGACCCACATGGACCGCTGGGTGAGTGCCCCCTGCTGGCCCCACTAACACCTCTTCCAACAGCAATATTAGTGTTTCCCAGGATGTCTCTCATCCAGGTACTGACCAGGCTCACACCTGCTGAGCTTCAGGGGGGTTGCCTGTTGTGAGTTGCAGGGTGATATGGCTGCTAAATAAAGCCATATTTTTTGGTGCTAAATAAAGCCATGACTGCAAAAATAAAGCAAATCGAAGTCCTTATGTTTGCACAATAATAAACTTCAGTAAAGACGGACAATAAAAAATATTCTCATCTGAAACATCAGATTAAAACAAGAACAAGAAAATACTTCACATAGTCTGGATGTTCTATTTACTGTACAAATGCAGAACAGCAATATCCTGGAATTTTCTTGGTATTATAGTTAATTATTCTCAATGTCACATTTTACAAAAAGAAAATAACAATTCTGTCAATCTAGTTTTTAGTTTAAAAACAAATATATCTATGTAATTTTGATACTTCAATTTTATTTGTTGATATTTTCATTGTGATTTTTTCCCCTAGTGAAGTGCACAGACTTTAAATTGTTAATGAGGCATGATTTAACAACGTTTAAAATTCTCTAGTCCCTAAATTACATTTTAAATTCAGATTAGGCCTTTTTCGAAGCTGACAAATGCATATGTCTGTTTACTAAGTGAACATCTGAATGCACAAAGATGCTCTTTCTCTCCGTTGGTTCAAGCATGAAACTCTTGATCAAAATAAATATCAGAAAGGTCTTCTGCCTCACGCTTTTCTGCATCTTAGCCATCTTCCAATTCAGTGCCACTTTAAATTATTTATGAATGAAATAACAGCTGTTAATAATTTACCCAAATGGCTATGTAAGGCAAAGAGTGCATGACACAAGGATCAGGGGTATTGCTGTGTTTATGGCTCCCATTCATCTTGTGTGATTATTAATCTTTAGCTTTTAGTGAGTGTGGAAGTCAGGCCACAACCACTTTAACACAGCTATTTTAATGGTCAAATAAAGTTATAATATATATTTTTTTAGTTTAGTTTGTAAGTCTCATTTTGATCAGCACACAATGATTATTTAGTTTAGATTATTCTGAGAGTGATTAATATAAATGCTTTTGGTGATATTTAGCTCTTCACTGAAAGGGCAGTCACTTAGTGAATATTTAATTCATGAGACAGATGAAGAACTAAAATCAGTTGTTATAGCTCTTCTAATGACATACAGTACAGTAGCAATGAGAGACATCAGCTTTATTTCCTTATTTTATTAATTGCACAACACTTTAAGGCAAAAAAACAACAATTTAAAAATATATAATACAAATAAAGGGGTGAATTCTCAAGTGTGTGTAATTAGTGGAGTGGCATAAAGATCTATACTAGGACCATTGCACTTAATTTATATTACCAATTTGGATTCTTATATTATTACAAACTTCAAATACGCAGAGAAGATTTAGCTAAAATACAAGAAAAATCTGACAGGTGACATTGAAAAAAGAAGAGTGCAGAGATTTGCATGCAGGAGGAAATACAAAATGGGAAATATTGAGACTCATGCATCATTAAAATATTCCTCACAATATGGAGAAGTAATTAAAAAGGAAAACTGTTAGGATCTTGAAATAGGAAAGATCAATATAAAGATGTTTCATTGCCATGACCAGAATGGTTTCACATGGTTAAATACTTAGCATATACAGTAGAAAAATGAGGCTCACTCATTAATATCAAAAGGAGATGGAGTGCAATGTTACTGGGTACAGTGAGTTTCTCACTCAGCGGCAGTGTGGTTTTATTTATATTAACTTTTCCACTGTGATTTTGTGGGTATTTTGAGTGCGAGTATTCTTTTTTCTAAAAGACACTTGCACTTGGATCTATGCTTTATGCCTTATCCTTTACAAATATTTAATCTTTCAGATTTGATAAATCTTTGCCTCAATCTCTTAGGTTTAGAGTGTATTTTGCCTGGATAATGATCTTATACAGATTTTAACAAAAGTGTACCTTCTTCTTATACTTTTACTAGATATACTACATTTCTTCACCATTGATTGATTTAGAACAGTTAACACCCTTTAATGTAACTTTACAGATTGATGGTCGTAGTTGTTAATTATTCTCATTGTGAAAGCAATGAAGTTGAGTTACAAAGCTATTTTCAAATGATCTCAATTATTTGATAATCAATATGGTCATGAATTATTGTTGAACTTTGTAAAAGGTTACTCGTATAATTATTTGAATATTTATTGTCACTTTTGCCGTGTATATTTTGAAAAAAATTACTATTCAATTTGAATATGTCTGTTTAGTAATTTACGAACACCATATAAGATAGTCAAGACATAAATGGTAGATTAAAACAATCGGGCCTACGTTATGGTGAAAGTCAATTCTGATTTTCAGGGCAACTGATCATGGAAAATAATTTCTGCACGTTCATAAAAAAGTGGTTCTTTGAGATTATACTGTAAGTACACATTGCGTATTATACTGTACACAGCCCTTTTAACTTTTTGTCCTCCAAGTATATATATACAGTATAAATCTATAATCAACAGACATTAAGCACTCCATGTGTTATGGTGATGCCTAGCAATGCCAATGATATTAATAGGCATATAAAAAAAGCTGTATGTTTCCTATATAGTTGGAGTAAAACTTGTTTTTCTCTTTTTCTATTATCTATATACTGTAATAAAGTTGAAAACAAATCTGCACTCAAAACATTAAATAATTCAAAATACTCAAACGAGTTTTGGAATCAATAGCATTTGTAACATTTGAATGCCTTTAAAAATATTTGGGGGTTATTATCTGTTACACCAAAGAAAACAGCTTGCAACAGCCATACTTCTTAAGAACTGAGTTAAATACCTTTTCTTGCATCATTATCATCTGTAAAATTAAGAAACCTTGAGCATACCTTCAACTTGATAAAACCTTACAAAAAGTTTCTGTTTAGTTTAATTGCAAAAACACTAAACGTCTACCAAAAGATAGGTACAAAAAATGAAAACAAAGCCTATTCTGAAAATACAGTAAAATGATGATTGTCCATCGTGTCTGATGATGACGGTTGTACTTTGTGCAGTTCATCTGTTTGAAAGATGAGCTGCATGAAGAAACCTGAGCGGAAGAGCTTTTCGAAGTGGGAAAGCTGTTGCACTGGGGCAGTCCCACTCTCTCCACCTCAGAAGCCTGGGTCCAGTGGTACAAGTAACTGTCACGACTGGAGACTTCCTTGGTTGCAGTGGATGGCCATGATGCCTTTCAGTGCCTTGTCATGCCCTTCACTTTCAATTGAGCGTTGGAACAGTATAGTGTCCCTGTCACTATACTGGGGCATTAGGAGCCACACAGACTACAGGTTGAGCACCCCCTGCTGGTCCCACTAACACCTCTTCTAGCAGCAACCTTAGTTTTTCCCAGGAGGCCTACCATCCAGGTACTGACCAGGCTCATTTGCATTATCTCATAGACTTTTTTTTTCGCCAAGCTATTTTTTAGCGGCCGCTAAGAATTCAGGATGTGACAACCATTTATTTCAGTAGCATGAATAAGTTGCACATAATTCCATAATTGCAAAATATACTTATTCAGTGCTGTGTATCATCATTGGGAGTTTAAATAGCCAGAACCAAAATCCAACTCTCTAAAGATAAACATCCTTGTTGGACATTTTCAATTTCTTTTAGAACAGAGCACAAGACAGTCACAAGTTCTGTTACCTGAATATAACTAAAAAATTGTGAAACAGGCTCACTCTTCAGAACTCAGAAGCACCTAAACAAATCATTTTAGGTCACAGGATCTTAACTAACATAGTTAAAAAATCAAAGCAAGAAGATTAACATTTATTGTTTTTTTTCTATTTTTCTTCCTTAACAGTGACTAAGCTTGCCACTTTCACTTAGGAAGCTCAGTAAAAAATAAAATAAATCAGTGTTTGCCCAAAATTCCGCTGGGAAATTTGCAGGGGTAAGTGACTGATAAGAACATTACTCAAGACCACAGTGCTGATGGGTGGCATCTCCCTGAGTGAGTACATTTTTATTGCAGTAATGTTTTCTTCTCCTTATAATCACATTGAGACAGATAAAAGCTTTGTACTCACACATCATTCACATAGCAGGGATACGGCATTTGCTGAACAAATACGCCAAGTGGTTGGGATTTAGACGTGTGTGCTCTTATAATGCCGTGGTCCATCATGTCCTGCAGATAGGCGAATCCTCCCCATATATAACGTAAGTCGTTATAGGAATTGTCACGAGCCCCAGGAGCCCATAACCTTATTAGAGAAACACAAATCATTGTCAGCAATGGGGGGAATGGGAGTTTCTCGGAGCACACAATTCACATTGTAGCTGATGAAGGCTTTTGTTGCTTCTTCTCCCCTGCAAGTGACAAATTACTTTTAATTTATGAACACAATACATACAATACGGATCTTACTGTTAGCAGCCCAGAGAAATTCATTCAGACCTAAATTTAAAGTGCTTTTCAAATATACCTCTATATACTTTAAAACAAATTCATCCTTACAGAAGGAATACCAATGTTGTATGTACGGTATTAATATTTATGATTATTTTCTTTAAAAGACAAAAATAAATTGTAAACACTTTTTTTAAAATCGCCCCATTCTTAAAAGAGCTTTTTTTAATTGAGTTCTGGTTCTTTCTGTTGCTATATATACTGTACTGTATATACAGTAGGCACTCACATTCACTTGAATTTTACTAGCTTTTGTTTGGCTCTATTGTTATATGCTTTGAATTCCTTGATTTTAATGGAAGACCACAAAAAGAAAGCATGCTGAGTCTCTTACAGAAACAACAGACTATAGACCACAGTTACTCACAGTCTATGTTGAGTACATTTAGACAGATATGCTACAGATTGTCTTGAGTACTATACTGTCTGGTTCCTTTATTACATCCGTCTTTTGAAGTACAAAAAATCAAGGATCTTGTTCTCATCAAATGTTTGATGTCAGTGAACATGTTCAGTACAGTATGTGTTCTCAAATACCTTTCGGTTCAGTGATCTGTGGCATCTGATGGTGGTATGGCAGTGTTTGTGATTTCAAGGGGGTCTATGGTTGCTAATGCTTCCTATTTACTGGTCAGACATAACATGAATTGTTGGCAGTACAATCTTTCAGCCTGTGCCACCAGGAACTCAGGATTCCTGTGGACGTCATTAATTCAGTTTCAGCCTAGGTATTATGTGACAGTTTTCAAACTCACAAAATAGCATATACAGATACACTCATGCCTGCACAGGTGTTATGTGCATTATTATACAAAATATCAAAAGTGAAATTCATGAAGCAAAGCTTGAAATAAAAAAATGCATTGCCAAACTTTTTCAAACATTTTTTATTTGAACGTTCTTTAAATATATACATCTAAAAATGTATATATCTGTTTTTCATATGATTCTTTTAAAGGGTAGGGAGTCACTAGCATTTACTGTATGTATCAAGTTTGTGTAACATTCCTTTACATACCTGTCCTTCACTTTATGTGTCCTTTCAACTTCATCAATGTCCATCCTGATTTTGTACTTCACAAAATGAGGAGGCTGGCTGGCTGTAGGATTGATGTCCTCAAAAACAATCCCAGCCCAGAATTTATTTTGTTGAATCAACTTCATGGACCTTTCAACTAAATTTGCTTCACTGGGGACCGCCTCAAATTTGTCTAGGACCAGGCACTGTAAGAAATACATCCATAACCTTTTAAGAATTTATTAGAGAACATATGAAAAGTTACAACAGAAAGAAGAGCATTCAGCCCATCAATTCCATTTGGTAGTTAGCAATTATCTAGTAAGTAAACTATTTGAACTGAGGGACTTATCCTGCCATTTCTTGAAAGAAGCCAGGGAAACAACTGTGTCTAGTGATCTTGCTTATAAATGCAGTTACACAATTTAAAAGGCCTAGAAGTTCCTATTACTGTCATCAGCACTTTAAAGCCTTCAATGTTTTATTTGAACCCACTGGTTAGAAGTTTGGAATACTGTACATCTCAGTTTTGGAGGTAAATATCAACCAGTATCTTCAACTGATTTTACTTTTACAGATGAAATTTGTTACCTAGAGAATAATCACTAGCTGTAGACCTTCCCTCTCATTTATCAAAAAGATCCACAGAGGACATTTTGTCACATTATTTAAATACAATTTAGCACAGCAGGTACTCGAGATTTCTTTTAAAAAGATATTAATTCAGAGTTCAATTTTAGTGTCATTTGGTTCTTCCAGAGCTTAATCGTAGTCACCATGTTTGAATTAATTTCCCTTTACAAAGTTGATCATTGCAATTTATATTTTTCATTCTTAATTCTGAATATCAGGTGTTTTTTTTGCTGTAAAAAATATTGTTTATGAGGGAGACTGGATTTCAACCACATTTATTACCACACCATGATATAAAAGTCTTCATATTATTCAGTTTTCAACTTTGCTTGAAACTAAAGTCACATTTTGAATTGGAAATTCTAAAACTGACAGATATTTCTTGAGAATCTTAATTGTTTCTTTATTATTAACTTGTAATTCCAGCTTCAGAAAAGCAGCCCCACTTAAAATAAATGCTCATTAGAAGACTAAGGTCTATTCCCTATCCAAGATCAACGTAATAAATTTAGGCCTAAATCCTCATGATGAATTTCATTTTATTTTCCCCTTTGATCATTATCCTTTACCTTGTTTTATTATGATATATTGTGCATGTCAATAAGAGCCTGGAGGCTAACAGAAAGAGTCCAAGGCTTCAAGATGTCAGGTCAGGTACCAGGATGATATTAGTTAAATTGCTTCTAATAGACTAACACCTAATGAAGCAAAACATGTTTACCAAACCTGTAAAAAACTTTTTTATGCAATTTAAAAACAAAATCTTTTAGAAAATGATGCACATCAAAACTACGGTTTTTACTTTGCATGTGCAGGGTATGTTTTATTTTCTGTGACACTGTACCATCATATACACCATTAAATATTTTATGGGTTAATATGAATAGTGAAGAGCTAACTCAAATAAGTATAAAGTACAGTATTAAAGCATACAATAAATTACTTTTCATTACTACAAGATAAACAATTTCAGGATTCATAATTCTATTCTTGCTAACTCCCTAGGTTCATCCTACAGTAAGTAATAATGTGAAATTGGACATTTAATTGGACATTAAGCTGTCTTTTTAAAAAATTTGGATTCACCTCTTGCTTTTAATATGCAGACAAATTTGGAATGACTGTTAATCAGCACACATCACTGCTATAAACCTCATTTCACTGCTGTTGTAGGGTCAGGGGGTTAAGGACTTTTTTCAATAAATGTGCACAATCAGTTCCATTAGCTACAGTATTTTTTATGGTGGAAGTACTACAGTGGCAGTACAGGAGTACTGTTGGTATGGTTCTGTTATTGGAGTGGTGCAGTGCAAATCAAGCCCATCTAAAAGATCTGGCAAGCTCTATAGTGGTACCTGAGTAAACACAGTTATGACAAGGATGGAATTAGGACCAGTGATGCCCAAGTTACAGGGCACAACCTGGACTCAACAGGCTTCTTTTCTGGTTGAACACAGACCCATACAGAAGCCTCTGGACATGGACCCCTATTGCTTAATAACAACTTTAAACTTGAGAAAATACCTGATTTGGGTAATATGATAAGCATTATGAACTGTAGAAAAGTAACCTATTTTAATTTTAATTATATAATTCACAAATAGAAATATGATCATATAACATAAAAAGCTTCTATTCTTACAGAAAATATAGTAAATCTGTTTAGTTTCTTTTTTTGATTGAGAAGACTATGAGTCCCTCCTACATCAGCAGTAAAACAAGGATCCAAGCTCCCAAGTGCGAACTAATAGAGGGTATATTTAGGAATAACTTCTGGACTAGCTTCTTTGTAATAACCTCTTCTTTTAACAGCATTGGGTGTCTGGAACAAACTGCCAATATATGTTGAAGCTATAATCCTTCAAGAAAATGCTACAACTTTCTTATTGCACACAGTGTTTTAATCACAGAAGCAAAGTGTATTGGTACCTACTGTATCTGCATATCAAGCTGTTCAAGCTCTGTATAAACACTGATAATCTCTAATAAGAGCTGACTGTGGGTCCTTGTATTGACTTTACAGTATATGCAAGGTGGAATTTGTTTATATCTTTGCGTCTAACATGGCCACATGGGTCTCAGCAATGTTCATATTTTCAATCATTTATATAGATTTTAAACCCCTGTATATATGTACAATATAGTGCAGGATGAAAATGAAAGGTGAAAAACATCTTTGTCTCACAATTTACTATATGTACCATTTTTGAACCAGTCTCTCACATACAGTACCACCAACCTCAATTTCATTATGTATTTCTGCATCAGAAGGCCTTAGTCAGAAATGGGACTCGGCAATCAAAATGGCAAAGACTTGGTAAAATACTGTATGTACAGTAACTTCAGCATTATCAGGAATAGCACTTATTTCTTAAGAAAGCTAATCAGTTACTGTATGTCTTAAATAATATTTTGTAATGATGGGGGTCCAAAATATTATGAGAAATTTGTATGAGGAAAAAACAGACCCCTATAAACTGAGTGAGTCTGCATAGGACTTCACTGGTGTAGTTAAAGGCATCTCTCCAGTCATAGGCAGGCATTCCAGTAGGTCTTGCTTCTGGGGAACCATTGTATAGGAAGTTTGAAAGCCGTTCAGCTGTCCATCCTGAGCCACGCAGCTGGAGATTTACTATTGCCGCTACTGCTGGGTTATTCAGCAAGGCCTGTTGGGGGACAAACATGTCTTTTAAGTAATCACTGCAGACAAAACAAGAAAAAGAGAGAAAAATGTGCAATATATCATTTTGATGCTGACAGGTTGTTTTAGTTGTGATCGTCACTTATTTGAAATGCTTACATCTATTTCTCTGAATGAAAGAAAAAAGATTAAGCTAGATGTCACTGTTGCACTGCAACCTTACAGTTGATAAGAACCCCCTCCCCTTAAACACACACTCACACCCAATCTATTTTTTATCTTCCCTGATTTGCTACAGGGGAAGAGCAAGGACTACAAATGTACATGTATCTAATGTTAGCACTGTACACAAACACATACTGTATAGTTGATTTCAAAGCAATCAATTTTTAAAGAATCGGTTAATATAAATGGAAATAAGCCTAAAGTTATAGCCATTAATGCAAACTGTTAAACACTTAAATTGGAATGCCCTCTAATGAAGAGTATTATTACCAAAAGACTCATGAATAAGGATCCCGGATTTTAATATATTTTATTTCGAATGCAGCTATGGTCTGTGCACCAAATAGAATTCTGAAATTAGAAAATAGCAATCAGGGTAAGAATAGTATATTAATAAAGCGTTCATCATATTCCATTAGTTGTTATAATGGAGAGTTTGAAAGAATGATTTACCCTGGAACCTGCATCATAAATGTACTGTAGATAGAAGGTAAAAAACAATATACAGTACTAACAATATTTGGCCTGCTGCTCTGTAAGCTTTTGTAATCAAGTTAAATAATTGTATGTAAACAGTATATAATTATTTTTTCACAGTTTATTAATATTCATCACTGAACAATAAAACTGTTCACTGAAAGACACAGTTTACAATATTTTTTGCAAAAAGTTATTCTACCTACTTGAAACACAAAATCAGATATTGAAAATTCATGATGAATTTAAAAAAAATATATTTGGACCAGTTGAACTGAATGAAAGGTTGATAAACTTGCAAAAGATTTTACTTTAAAGTTATATTTGTACTTGAAGAAACAGTGAAGTACTGTAAATCTTAATTCTAATATGTAAATCTTTTTGAGTCAGGTACAGTAAGTGCATTGCTCTGTCAAAACATTTGTTAAATGGATGAGCATCAACAAATATAACAAAACTCATTTTAATTTTATTTCCATCACGTGGAAAAGAGATTTCCACCAGCACTCCTTATACCTTGAAACTCAATTCTGGATTTTCACCATTTTATGAATGTCATATGGGTCTAAGTGGCATTTATAACTACAGTAGTTTTGCTAAAATCTAAAGCCACTTTCCTATATACAGTCTATCTAAGGAACAATTAGTTCACTGCACAGTTCCTGACACAAGATGATGTAAATTGATCTCAATTATTGTGTATTGATTGTGAAAATTAAAAGAACTCTTGGCAACTCCACTGATGCTATAGAATATGGGTACGGCTTTAAATGACCCATTAAATTTGAATTATAATAACCTAAACTCAGAGAATCAAAAGTTGCAATTTGATCATTATAGGATACAGTTGCATGGAAACTGGAACTGCTGAGTTATTTTAATTTGGGATTTTACAAGGAGGTGTATTAAACTTATAAAACTAAAAAGTTATGAATCAAATATATTTGCAACTATTCAATTTTACTGACTATGCTGTTTCTAATATTTAAGGGTAAGATCAAATTTTATTTTTTAAAAATAATCCCTATTACAAGAACACTACCATATATACCTTTTATCAGTCTACTATAAATGAACATTTTTAGTAGTTGGTTTATACAGAATGTTCAAGCAGGGAAAAACATTCACACTTTGGTTCATACTTAGTATACATGGACTCTGAGCATGTCCCAGAGGCCTATTACAACATTCTTAACATCATTCCCAGAGCACTTTCCCTGTCTCTTCAATTTCTGTTTTATTTAGGTACAAACAACCTTTCTATCTTCCTTCTTACCAAGCTTGTCTTTAAACTCACTTTGTCTTTAACTACTAGCTGAACTTTTGAATGTACTACTTTACCCTGATTATTGTTAATAATATCCAACAGTAAATATCACTCAACATACAGTACTCTACATAGATAATACAGTACTGTACAGTATATTGTTATATAGCATCTTGCAAATATCTTCATCCTATTTCGGTGATGCTCCACTTTTTCATTTTTAAAGTGAATATTTGTAATAAAAAATTGAATGCTCAGCCTGAACACCTTTATGGTCAAAAAAGGTTAAATTCCTGCAAAAACTCCCAAAAATCTAAAAAAGAGTTACAGATTTACTGGTACTGGAGTACTAGTGGGGATGATGGTGGAAAGACAAGAGGGAAAAGTTTTTGTTTTTTTGCTAGTGTTGTATTTATTATAGATGGGATGGGGGTTTAAACTAAAAAAAATGAATAACAAATATTTTGAATGATTAGAAATATACTGTGAGTCAATATTGCTGGAGCACTGCTAAAATATCTTAACAAAGCCCAGGTAAACCAAGCTCCTCGTCACTGTGACCACACTACTTTGTATTTAATTTTGATTAACCTTACCTTTCATCCAAATATAATATTGACTCTACACATGCTGGAACTGTAGTTCAAAGAAAAGAAAACAGCCTGACAACATCAGAATGTTGTCTCAACAGTCAGATTGGAAGAAGCTCCAAATGAAGAAGAATAGAAAATGTCTTACTAGGGTATTAAAGGGAATTATGAGTGCAATTTAAAAGTGCGAACATAAATATAAGAATTAATAGGTGTTCTACGGGGAAAAGGTTACTTCGAATAATAAAATAATTTTTAAATTAGTGCGGTTCTAGTGGTTAAGAATCAGAAAAAAATAGCATTCATTGTGTACCCTGGAGAAATGTGGAAAATCTGGATTGAAGTAAACATACTATCTCAGAAAACTGCAAATCATTGTTTTACAACCCTTAGTGTATAAGACTGAGGGTTAGGGCAGTGATTACTCAAATTATTATTATGAATGTACTGTATGTGGCTGATGCTTTTATCCAAAGGGGTTTTGTAGCCATTTATACAGCTAAGCATTTTACTGAAGCAATCAATGCTGCTGTAGTAATTCCTTCATGCTTATGAAAAATTTGCAATTTCTTTGGACAGGTTTATATTTGTGATATCCACTTTTTAGAGTCTTACACTTTTTTCTAAAGTTGCGACAAGATTTCATTTACATATGAAACAATTTCTGTACATAGTTACATTTTTAAAATAAATGAATACATTTGCACACAACTTATCTGAATATAGTATGTCATGCATTGCAAAAAAAATCAACTATAGAACATACTGTATTAGTTTAAGATGTACTATACAAATAAACTTTCTGAGTTCATGTGAAGGCATGAGGCCATTTTGAATTTGTGGTACTACAGGCAACCAAATACTAGAGTGTCAATCTTATACAGTACCTGCAGCCATCACAGTAAAAATTCATCAATTAATTAGCAATCCCCTTGTGCTCAAATTTGGCATTTCTGCAAGGGTCTGCTCTCAACCAGTTTATTTTACTGCAATTACTGTAATTATACCTGTGGACGTGCTGACATGTTTTATCACCCCATACGTAATGAATGCCAGATGACATTAACCAAGTGTTAATATGTACATATTCAAAATGTGTAGTCAGTTCCATTAGCTCATTTTGCACAAACAATTGTGTACTGAATATTTAATGCACTTTAAAGTATTGACCTGTGTAACACCCCATGAAAGTTTTTTTTTCTATGAACTCAAAACATCTTTGCTGATGATGTTGAGGTGGTCATTAAGGCAGAGTTAAGGTGATGCAGTACAGGCATGAGATGGCAGACACAGATAACAACAGAGTATAGCATTGCCTACCGTAGGTTTTTTATGTAATAAAATTGAATTAATTATTCAACATTAAAAAAGTGAAGTCGTGGAAATTCTATATATTGGATAGCACATTGACAGCAAGTATTTGAGAACATTGCAAGTTACTCAAAACCAACATGAAATTCAGATTTCAGAGAGCTCTTTGAGTATATAAAAAGCCCTACATTAATGAACAAATGATTCTATGCACAGTTTGCTGTATCTCCAGGCAAATAAGCCAGCAAAACACAAGGGAGTTAAAAATACTTGTTCTTGCCTCAGCAGTTGGTTTTGTATTGGACTGAGAAGTATACTTTCAAAGCCATTAACACAGGAGGTGGGGCAGTCCTGTGCCTGGCTGAAGGTGTTCTCAAAGGTGCTCAGCTCTATTTCGACAGATGCATCACATCAGTCACTTCAGAGCAGAAAAGTGGATAAAATGGATATTCAAAGTCCCAAAAGAATGCCAGATAGCTGATAATATTTTTGTGAAACAACACAGAAGAGGAGCAATAGAGACCATTAGTAGGAGAACAACTGAATTTGCTTTCAAAAAGTACTTGTAGCTACAACTACAAGTTTATTGGCTGATGCTTTTATCATATCAGAGATTTACATTTGTACAGATGAGTATTTTACTGGAACAATGTGGGTACCTCAAGGATACGGCATCACTGTCTCACCTAAGATTTAAAACCAGAAATTTCCAGTCCACATTGATGTCACTGTAATTTGCTGTCATCCATCAATCAACAGCAGAACAGTATAGGTAGAATGCATACCTATGACTCTATACTGAGTTTATACACCAGGATTCTTCAACCCTGGTTCTGCAGAATTTTATTTCATGAGGTTTTATAGATCCCGACTCTGAGGTTACTCACTTTGAATACTAATAATATATACAGTAAATAAAGTCTGGCAATAAATTAGACTAATGTGACAATGGATATCACTTAGATTTTATTTAAGGTATCAACTTAAATCTCTAAATCAAGCATATCATTAAAAGCCAGTCACTCAGGGGAGGATTTATAACTAAAGTTTGTGAATATGTTAATTTTCTGTTACCTTATATTTACATGTATTCAGTGGGCAGATGTTTTTATCTAAGGTGATGTGGCATTGCATTCTACAGCCACATCCAGTCAAGAAGAAGAATATTAAGTTGCCCACAGTCAGAACCCATCAGCAAATCATTAACTGCCTTAAGAAAGGTTTTCCAATATATTTTCTTGGACAACACAAAAAAATCCCAGATCTATTTATGTTCTATTTAATCTACAGGAACATTCTATTAAAGAAAAAAACAGGCATCAAGACAATGACCTTTGTCTTAGTTTTCCATTAGTCACTAAAATTGATTGTACCCTGCACTTATTTCCATTTCCATTACAAGGTAATAATCCCATCCCTCACACTTTCAAAACATGTCTCAGACAAATAGTATCAAAGTTATTTACAGACTGAAGATTCAATGTGGGGCTTTCTGCATAGTTATACAGTACCAATATGATTCTGACTGAATATACTGTACAGTATTTTCTGAAAGTATCGTAATGTAACAATAAAAGCCTGCTTCTAATACTGTGACTAAATCTGTCAATTTCCAGGACAAGACTGTTGGAACAATAGAAGTTTAATAGGTTTGTACTTATGTTTTTTTTCTACTTCTTGTATTTGTGAATCCCAGTGAATAATGCTGGTAGGGGGAGAAAAAACAGTTACTGAGAATTGTGAGGAAAAAAGGCCTGAGGTCATTTTGTTGCAATCCAAGACATGTACAGAAGATACCTAAAATACTGCAAAAGCATGTTTTGATTCATCGCAATACTTTGACATTGCATCTTTATTTAAATAACTATTGAAATTAAATGAAAATGGATTATTTGGATAAAGCCTTTGAGCATTTTACTGTATGCATAAAACTTTACAAAGCTAACTGTACCACTTACTAAATGTCCAAATGGAATCCACTGAAATGTGTTCATTTGTATTAATTGAACCTTTGGACAATTCAATTGAAAGGGCACTACAGATAAAAAGCAGAACCACTACTACTTTGGTATTCGTTTGCTTATTGTGCTTTGCATTTGAGTACTGCCCTAAGCACAGTTAGCAAGCTTAGTACAGTACGTACATATAAACAGTTTATTTAATATGCAACGTTTTAGCTGATAAAAACCTAAATATTTGCACAGACGTTCATTGACAATTGTTCATTGTTTTGTAAAAACAACATCGGAATAGAAACCTCAATAAATAATTTACATAAGTCTTTCATGCAAGCAATCTGTAAAAATGATTTAATTCAGAAGAAATCAACTACTACTGTATATTATGATTACATTGTGACATTTGCTATAGTAAATGTAACACATACTACTGTATATACAAGTATACTACTTTTTCATCAAGCATACAGAAATAGATGTATTTACCCTGAGTGAATTGATTTGAGTGCTGTTCTGCAAAAATGTCCAAATTAATGGTCCATGTACTTCCCAGGCTTCACCAATCTTTTTCAGCAATCCTAGTGTATAGAATGTACTGTTGGCCTGAAACAAAGGACAAGACATTACATTATGTACTGTACATACAATATAAACAGTTTAGAGTGTCCAAATTCACAAATCTTTCCACTACCCTCCCAGGAAAGACAAAATTACAGGGTATTCTATTTTTTTAATTCATTCTACAAAATAGGCTTCTCAGACCTTTCTAATAGTGTACTATGAAGATAAATAAAAAGTCTGATAGATGGTAAAATATTTGAATAAATGGGCTTGGTATCTAGGAGGTTACTGGTTCGTGTTTTGAATATGCCACTGACGTACTGTACTGTGTTTTACACTGAAAAACCTCGTGCCACTAATGGTCAAAACAAATGTCATCCTCTACCCTGTAACCTTACTTATTTTCTTATAATATAAGCAACTGCAGCCGAAAACCCTACTAGAATATTGAAAAAATACATTTTTAGGTTACATTTTGTTTTGAGTGATTTTAGTACCAAGAAAAATGTTGGCAGCACCGTCACAATTTCAACATTTTTTATTTAACATTCATAAAAACTCAAATGTACTGTATATTTGCAAGGGTGTCTAAGACAGATGATTTTATGTTTGAAATCCATTTGATACCTAAGCTAAGATTGATACTAGGTTATGTCTCTCTGTCTGAATGTTTAAAAAAGACACAATCTCTGAAGGAACACATTTTAAAGAATTCTCTAGCAATCCTCAGCTTTGATGTCACATTGAACTTTGATGTTGTTAGTACAGAATAAACTGTGACCACTGGATTTTTGAAATTTGAAAGCATTCAGTATGTTGTCTAGATTTTTAATGTCAGACAGGGCTGGGAGCATAGAATGTTACTTGTACTGATCCCAAAGGAAAGCAATTTCTTTTGGCCTGTAGTGTCTTATGTAAATACTTATGTTGTTTACAACAGAACATGAAAATGTACACAAACCATCAGAAAATAGTCTGGCTACACCGTGAGCTGAAGCTGAAATAAAACTGATATTTTGAGATTGTTTTATAGCACTCAGTTCCCACCTCAAATACCTGAGTTTCTGGTTATTCAGTCAAACCAGTGATTAACATGAACTAAATATCATGAGACAAGCCACTGTTAGAAAAAAAAAATCTTGGAGGATATTTGTGAATATGCCAGGTTCAATGATGCATTCATCTCCCTAAAGGATGATTAGGCTTTTTTTCAGTGTCATACATCTATTAATGTTGATTTGAAACAAACACTCATACATTTCAGGGTATTAGTTTAAAAATGAATTTCATTTTGATGATATGGGCACTTTCATTTTCACGGTGGGAAGATGTTTTAAGATTTAGTTTTCTGCTTGAAAAAAAATCATTTCAATATGACATGAAATGGTAGCTGAAGAATAAATTCAGAGGTTTACAGAAAAATTTTGTCTGCTTAAATAAAAGTTTGATACTTATTGAACTGCTTACACTTTTAGGTGGAAGGTTAAAATGTGAGAAATAAAGAAACTGCAGATGCTCTGAAGAACATCACCTCATCTGTGAAGCTTGGAGATAAAACATGTATGGTTGCATCTGGAATTGGCCCACATTTCTTTATTGATTATGTAAATAACGATGGCTACAGAAAAACAGATTCTGAAGTTTACGGAAACAAAATGCGTCCATAGTTAATAGGTGCTGCTTCAACATGAAGCAAGACAATCACCCAACATATAACTTGTCAAGTTTGTAATCCAACTGAGCATCCAGTTTGTAATCCAACTGAGCATTTTACATTTTGAAAAGTCTGAATTCAGAGCATCTTAGAAAACATGCAAGAACACAGGTATCTGCAGAAAGATTCAGTATCACAAATAATTGCACAGATATGGGTGAGCTAAATGGATTGCAGTTATTGCCTCAAAAGGATATGCTACCAAATCTGGACATTTAGACTTTGAGATTTAAATAATTTAAGTGAACATTTCCCAATACTTACAGTATAGGCACTTGAGATCACAGGGATGGAAACTAAAATAAGTTTTTGTTTTAATATAATGAAATATGTGCATGTACTTACCCACAGATAAATTGTATATTATATTGTACATATCATAGTTATTATAATTAATCACCATAATTACTAAGACAATAATCACAACAACAAACAAATTGCTTGACCGTAAAGCAAAAATAACAATTTGACTCTGCTGTTCCAAATCTTTAAGAGGGATACAGCATAAAAAAACATTAAATAATGATAGTTGCCCTATTTAAATATCTATATAGTCCATGGCATGTGTAACAATAGAATTGAGAACACAAACAAATGAGACAGTGGTGAAAATAGTTTCATGAACAACAGAAGTACAGTACACACCAGACGGTCGCAGCTTCATGGATGCCAAGCTATGTGCAGTATGCTTCTAGAGCATAAAATTGCTCAAATAAAGCACTGATTTCCCACTGTAGATAAAACTACAGATGATGGTGTGAAATAACACTGATTTTTTTAAGGATGGCTTTCTGTTGGTTTTTTTTACAGCTTTTTACACTTAATGTAAGTGAGCTAATTTATTGCTCAATTGGATAAATTAAACATTCTCCCCAGACCCTAAACAAGGGAAGGGTTTAAATAAGGGAACCTATAAAATGTTAAACTGTGATCCTCAAGGATAAGAGTCAGCCATCCCTGATTTAACCAAAGCAAATGAAACTATGTGAAGTCAGTCAGTCACTCTTTGGAAATACTGGACACTGTGGCCTTGTTTAATGATATTGTATTGAATTGTGTTGTTGAAATGAACTTTTGCATGACATTGATGTCATTAAAGCTCATCAATCCACAAAGCAATCTGTAGTGACCTAGAATTTGTTTTAAAAAATACCTAATATTTCATGGACACACAGTTGCAGGTAGGGTCAGGCTGAAAAGGCAATGATTAGTTTTATCTTTGCTCAGGTGAAGATTAAAAAGGATAAAGACAATTTATTAAGACTTCACACATGAGCAAGTTCTTACCCACCGCAGGGAGTCATTAAATTATAATTCTGGTCTGCTTGCTGTTTCATTCTTCTGGCATGTTCACTTTTTTATGAGAAGTGCACATGTGATGGTCTGAAAGCCCTGGCACTGAGGCAGTGAACTTTTGTGAACTTACCTCTCTAATGATGGTGCTTGTTGCAGGAGTGTCAGGAGAGTACAGAATCTTTCCCAGCAGCAGTGGACGGAATGTGCTCCACACATACCGCAGAGCAGGTGTGCTCTCTAATGTTTCAATGAAGGTTTGGCAGAAATCACCTTGAATGAAAAAGATGGCTTACTCACAACGCCCAATCATGAGTACAAACAGAATAAAAAACAACAGTATAAAGTGTGGAAGACTTAAAGGAAGCAAAAAAAAATCATGGGAAGTGTATTTAAAAAAGACAAGTAGTGGAATGAGGCACATCTACAATTAACAATTTATTCATTTTTTGTCCTTTATACTGTACTTGCAAATTTGTTTTTATTTTAGATCAAATTCTTCTCCACTTTTGATGTGCTGTTTCCGAAATAACTGTTCAGAAGATTTTAAAAAAAACCTCACCTTTGGTGTTTGACATTCCCTCAAAAAAAATAAAAATAATTTGGAAGAGCATTTACAAATTGTTTTGTAAGATTTGCTAATTGTAGGTATTATATAATAAGTACTTCTAGACCAGTGATAGGCCAAGTGAAAACTGTCATTGAGAATTGTATTCGCTTGTTAACTAAAATGAGGTTGTTTTTGGGAAGACAGGTTTTCCAACTTTAATTTGAGAACACTATGAAGGACTAGATATACACTCTAATGAACTGATGCATTACATGGCCTCCTGCAACAATTCTGTAACCCCTATTGGTTAAAGGACATAGTGTACTAATGTATATAACTAAACAACATAAACTGGAATGACATTTGAAATTTACAGTAGAAACAGATGTACAGTAGTTGATACAGTATACATTCTTCTCTTGTGATCCTAACATCAAACCACAAAGATAATAATTTTAATGTTTACTGTAACTCCGTATGACTCCTAATAAACCATCTATTTGAATAGTCATCTTAGACTTTTAACATTTCTAATTGCTATAAAAATCACACACTAAATAATTTTATCAGCAGTTTGGTTTGCAGTTGTAAATACAGTAATTTATTAGAAATGTTGATACTGGGCATGAACCATTCTAAGTGGATCTGACATTTTCTAAAATAATCACTCCTTCTATTGTATGGCATGCTGTAACATTATTATACAGCTGTTAATACAATTACTAAAAATAGTTAGGATTAGGTCTGTCCAGGTGCATAGGTTCATTATAACTCCAGACTCGAATGTTGTCATATATTTAAATCTCTCAACGTTAAAGCCCCAACTGATCTGTATAGTCCCCAGTTGCAACCACATCTCCTACAGTAATAATATGAGACTAACTGAAATGACAAGTGAAAATTACTTTAGAAGAACTGCATGGTGAACTCTAGGGAACGTAAATACAATGCAGATAGTAGGTGTATCTACCTGGCAACATCAATTTATAAAACAAACAAGAAAAAGCTCCAGTTCTATTATGAGAAATCCATTTGAATCTACAGTATCTATCTATATTTCATGGCTGTTGCATAACAAGTATCTCATATTTTTTTCTTTACACATAACAGAAGATTTTACCATTATGCTGTAGCACTTGAAAACAGCCCGGATCTTTCATCACACAGCAAGCTGGATTAACAGCTTCTGAATATATTCTGCTTTTTTTTGTTGCAATCAAACCAGTTGCATTCCAGGCACTTTATCAGCAATGAGGCACTATAATTGAAATGTGTATTTTGTAATACACTTTGTTACTTTGATGAAATGTGATGAGTTTAAAATAGATATTTTAAAAGAAAACATTTTGTGAGTCAAAATATTTTATTAATAAAATGAATTTATTTATAAAAAATCAATTTCTTATAGGACAGGTCTTTGCATTATTTCCAAACCTTTTATACATGACCATTTCTTTCTTATTTTGGAAAGAGCACTATCATAGAAAAATATTTCAGGTTTACTATGTCCATTTGAAATTAGACAGCATGGAGCTGCAGGGGAAGGAATTGTAGAATATCACCAAAGGCCTTTGAAGGGATATCAAATAGGTATTTTTGGACAAACTGTTTCTTGCATATACTGTATGTTCAGATGTGTCTAACATATATTACTGACAAGTGCAGGCTCATTAAAATCCTCAGTAGGCAACAGTCCAAACCAGAAAACCAATTTCCCAATTAAGTGTTGTACATAAAAGGCATACAGCTTATGGGTTTATGTTTAAATTAAGTGCAGTTGTAAGGCTGGGCTTGTGCTTGAATATCTAGTCCCGCTGATCTTTACCTGTGAGGGTCACAACACCAAATCATTTGAAAGCATTCCTTTAACTTCAAAGTAAAGATTAATTTAAAATGTCTGCACAGGAAAGAAGAGGTTCCTTTCATCCCATCCCTACCTATAAAAGATGCCCATTATATTTCATTGACAGAAAGAAGCTTAGTGAAAAAAAGTATGCTTGTTCAATATAAATGAGGTGTATTGTACGTTTGTATGATGTACTGTATATATGTTGATCAAGACTGTCCTCCTAATGGCCAGTTCCATCACAATAAATGAAGTAGCAAAGTAGGTGCCAGGATTGGGATGTTTTCCTCACAAGTGGTTCTGCTGGACCTGTGGCACACAATGAGTGGGCAACAATGTTATGGTGGGTCTAGTCCTACTAGTCTTGCCATGAGCCCTGACGCCCTTATGAAGACACATGCAATTACTATAGCTGCAACCCTTTACACTGTGAAAATTTTAGGTACTGTATGCATCTAATTATTTCAGTATTTTATTTTCAGCAATAGGTTTGTTGCCAGATTTTTCTTTTGGCTGTTCTTTATTGTTTAACTTTCTCATTATGGTCTTTTCCTTCTTTTAAAATCAGTTTAAAATCTGAAATAGCATGTTTTCTCCTTCTACTTTGAAAGGCAAACTTTTGTTAATAAAGACAAGGTGAAAGCAGTAGACTTCTCCACACCTGAAGAAGGCTCCACGGTTGAAACGTTGTGTTCTCTTTCTTCTTTTTTTCAGCATGGAATAAACCTATTACTTGTTCCTTTGCAGTAGACTAAGTATGCTTGTCAGCCAAAAGGGATTTCAATGAAGTAGTGATTATTGAGTTGACCTATTAGTAAAAGTGCCAACATTATCATGAAGAATACCCTTGTGTACAAAGTCAATGTACCCCATCAGCAGTATTATCTTCATTCATATTTTTCCCATTCTAATGAAGGATTATGATAACTGTTTACAATATATTTTAATGAGACTATTCCTGGCAAACACATCTACATATCTGATACCATTTAGTCCAAGTCCTATCATGTTGATATTTGCCAGCATATGTAACTTAAAGAACAGAGAATAGCTCAGTCAAAATAATTATTAAATGTTGGATTATTTGTACATTAAATCAGTCACATAAAATGTGTAGAAACTTACAGATAATGATGTGCATGAAAATGGGATCCTAATGAACCAAAGTAAATTAATGCAGCAACAACCATATGATTCTGCTATATTTCTAGAAAAAAGTGGAGGATTTATACAGCATTTATACATGAAGAATTGTATGAAGAAAACATAACAATTCAAAATTCCACCCACCTCTCTTAATTACAAAATCATCATTTGTAGCCTATCACATTACTTAACCGAAAATGTAAACTTGATATAATTGGTATCAAAATATTAAAACCACACACGGCGCAGATGGGGGAAAGAATGATATTGTTCAGTGATGTACACTTTGTCTATATGAAAATCAATATATCCTTGAACACATAATTGATTCCTCATTTATAATGTACTACAAAAATGGCTGTGAAAGTGTAACCTCATTTTATCTGGGCAGATACATCAGATCAGATCAGATCACTTTATTATCCATATACAATTTCTTGCATTAGGAATTCATCTTTCGCATACCCCAGCTTGCTCTCCATGAGACATAGACACACAGATAGGGCACTTTCGATTTAAGTTGCCAAGAGGGCAAGAGAAGACTGTTTGGCATATCTACTGTAGCCCATTTTGTTATTAATAGATCATTTAGATTAAATAATTTCTGTACTCATCAATTATCAGTTTTACTTACAAAATGATGTTTGTGTGCATTGCATTTCAGTAATGGACTTTTGCTGAAAAATGTGTACCGCCTACTCTAATTTGATCCTAAGTTTGAAATGAGTAAATTACAGTAAACTGTAGAATATGACTCCATCAAAGTGTATTCAAGACTTGCCGATTTCAAAACAAGCCACAACATTGAATTTTTAAAAATGTTTTATAGTGTTAAATGTACAAAATATGTGTTAAACCACTGGGTGCTGAAGATGTTTAGATAGTGCTGTAGTTTGCTTTGTAAAAATTATGTTACATTTATTCTAAAAAAGATGAATAAATTAAACTGATCTGTATTGTGAATCATAACAAGTAGTGCTGTTTTTTTAGAGCATTATGATAATTACTAGTGGTTTAGATCACAGTGTGCCGTGTCTGTACTGATTTGTATTCACACTGTGACATTAAAAATTAATTGAATAATTGTAGTTTCGTAAATAAGTAATCCTAGTTTTAATTCACTCAGAAAATAGTGGTTTTGCTTGTAAATGTGATTAAAATAATTAATAAAACTGTTGCTTTGTTAGCATTTAGTTTTAGTCTGCAATTGCAAAACAATTTGACTATAATATTAAAAAAATATTTTGGGTGCCTCCTACTGTATGTGGCTCAAACTGCAAAGCTACTTACTTGAGCACAGACTGAGCTTTATAATCATGAGTTTGAATCTGGATAGTGTCACTAGATAGCTATAGTCAGGATTCCTGGCCAACGTGACAGTGCACAACCAAAAGCATAGGATGTGATTAGCTGGACTTGGTCATTTAAGCTCTAAGGTACTGACCATCAATTTATATAGTACTGTACAGTATATACACCTGTGCATGTGACTTTTACACAGATACTGTAAGGAATTTCAAGGGATAATTACCCAATCCCAAGTGTCAATTTTAAGTACACTGACATACTGTAAAATAGTTCTATAAAAAAATTACAGTACTTACAGTACTGTACATGCATGGACTTTAGTAATAGAAACATCAGCATAAAGATCATCGATGGACTGCTTTACATTTACAACACATAGACTGCTCTTCAAGCTGTAAGAAAGTTATAGATCTCTGATCTATA